CATTCCCCTCCCTTTTATTTTTTTAATTCGGATAAATAATTAAAATAAAATAAAATTTTTTTTTCTCATTTAATTTTTTATAATTAATTAAATTTTTTTTCTCTTGTCCCTTTTCTCTTAATTTAAACATATTATTAATTTTATTTTTCTAAAAAAACATATTATTAATGTTATTAATATTTGTAAGTCATGTAAATTATTTTAATAAGATTCTTATCGTTCAAGTGGACTTTTAATCTATATCACTATTTACGAGGAAACGTGGGTGATTGAAAAAAAAGAAAGAAAAAAAAAAAAAAGGAAAAATGATTCTTTCTTATCTTGGCAGGCTGCCTCTCAGGGCTGCTTTTGCCCGCTTTCGCTCTATAACTAGAACACGGAATCAAACTATTCTTGTATTTAATTTTTATTTTTTTATTAATTATTTAAGTAATTTAATAAATATTTTTTATTAAAAATAAAATATTTTAAATTTAAATAATATATTATGCGAGAGTAAAATAAAAAATAAAAATAATTATTTCTTATTTTGTAATCAAAATAAAAAAGTTTTATTTTTTTAAAAGAATTTCAACTCAAATTACCATTCTACCATTCCTACTTTAGTACTATGTCCTTTTGTAAAGCAGGTAATTATAATTATAAACCGATTACTTTTTAATTTAAATGGAGGTAATTCGATTTCTTCTTGATTAAGCGTTCGAATTCGAGTTTTATTAACAAATAAATAAGTTTTTAAAAAGTTATTCTCCTTATAAAATCAAACATGATTAAACTTAGTACCAAAAATTAGGTAATTATAGACATTTCCAAGGGCAAAAAAGATTCATCCGCAAAGCAGATAGGTTCAAAGTTTCAGATTGTTTTCCAACTCTTGTCCCGGACAGACACGAACCTTCTGTGCCTCCTCTCTCTCCTTCAACCCTTTCCCTGTCTCTGCAGTACCAGTTTCGAAGATGATGCACATGACCTTGTACTGGGGCAAGCAAGTCACCCTCCTCTTCGACTCATGGAAGACCGATTCCTGGCTCAGTTACTCCCTCACCTTACTCGCCTGCTTCCTCTTCGCCTCTTTCTACCAATACATGGAGGATCGCCGCATCCGCTGCAAATCCCTCGCCTCCGCCAACTCCCCTTCCACCACTACTCCTCTCCTCTCCAAGATGGGCCGTTTCAAGCCAGCTAAAGCCGCATCGGCCGTGCTTTTCGGATTCAACTCCGCGATCGGTTACCTCCTGATGCTCGCCATCATGTCGTTCAACGGAGGCGTGTTTCTAGCCATCGTTTCCGGTCTGACCGTCGGATACCTTGTCTTCCGGGGCCAGGAGGATGAGGAGGTTGCCGTCGTTGACAATCCATGCGCTTGTGCTTGAGAATTGAGATCCAAGATCTGGAATTTTTTACGATTGTCTATCGACAGAAAACTTAACCCTTTCTTTATACTCTTGTATCATGTTTGTATTGCTAAGATTACAATCAGATATATGAATTTCTTCTTCCTCTGTGTGAAATCTGTAAGTCTTCTTCTCTCCCATTTCAGATCTGATTTTCTTCGAATTTTAATTTGGTGCCCTAATTTTCATTTGTTTGAGTTAATTATTATTTTATAATATTTGTACCAATAAGGGACTAATTAGGTTTGGAGTTGGTGTAATTTATACTCTAAGTTCACGTAATAAAATTTATTAATTATAGAATTTATCATTATTTTTGAATAAATTTTTATATTAAATTCATATTGTTTATATATTTTAATTAGAGATATTATATTTTGTTTTAATTTTATATTTTATTTTAATTGAATATAATATAAAAGTTTATATAAAATTAATTTAAAAAATTTTATATTTAATCAAGAATTTTTACTAATGATTGAAATTAATATTAAAATACACCAACGAATTTGTTGATATAAATTAAAAGAATTTAGTTTTCATAAAATATTGAATTTAAGTCTTGTGAATAAAAAAATAAATGTTAAGAAAGTTTTCTCTCATATAAGATTTAACATGATATTGTTAGTTCAAATGAAAAAAACTTAATTTTTTCATAAGTAAGATATTAAGTTTAAGTATTGTAAATGAAAAAATAGATGCGGAAAGTTTTCTCTCATATAGGGTTTAACTTGATAATGTTAGTTTGAGCAAAAAAAAAACTTAATTTTTTATGAGTAAAATTTCAAATTTAAATATTATAAATAGAAAAATAAATATTCAGTTTAAATATTATAAATAAAAAAATAAATATTGTGAAAGTTTTTTCATACATATTTGATCTAATTTAATTTTAAATTATTTAAAACGTAATGTGACTTTTGGATCATGGTTATTTAAAAAAAAAAAAAAAACTTTAAAAAACGTGTAGTGCACTTCAAGTCAAGTCCAGGAGGCATAATATTTAATTACTTGCCCTACATGGGCGTATCTTCTAATATTCGGACTATTTGACAATCAATGATCTCCTCCATTTTGTGCACCTCTTTTTTTAATATAAGTTGTATAATATTTTAAAAATAATTTTAGATTATTTTTTATATTATATAAATAATAATTAAAAAATTATTTTATCAAATGAAATTGTTAAAGGAAAAAATTTTTAATTATCATTCATGTGTTATTGAAAAGTATTTTTTAAAATTAAAATTACATAAAAGTCCTCTAACTATTTGTATTTTAAAATAAAAGAAGTAATTTAGAGCAGTTTATTTTGTAATTTAGAGCAATCTGAAAAATAAAACAAAAAGCTCTTAGGGCTTATTTAATTGACGCCTTCTCTAATAAAAGAATCTGGAAAAACTACTCAAAGGGGGCATGGCTTAGGAAATAAAATTTCTATGGTTAAATGTTAATTTTGATCTCTCAACTTTATTAAGTTGCATTTTTTTTGTCTCCCAGCTATTTTTTGTTTTTTTTTTTATCCCTCAATTTTAAAACTACACAATTTTGGTCCTTTCGTTAATTAAGTGACACTTGATTGTTAAAATATTTCAAAATGACATATTTTTTAGGTTAAACCTTTATTTTGGTCTCTCAACTATTGTACGGACCCTTAACTTAGTCTCTCAACTCAAAAAATCCCTGATTTGGTCCTTCCATTAAAAATCCACTTACGTGTCCCCTTAGTTAATGAGAAAGGATAACATGTAAAAATATTTTGACACGTAGGATCAACAGCATGGCATATAAAACTTTGACACGTAATTTTCAGTAAAAATTAAAATATCTAAAATTAATTATAAGATTAAAATTACTTTTTTGCACTCATCTTCAACCACACATCAATTTCTTTCCATTTTCCTTCTGTTACCCCTTCCTTTTCATCTCTAGCATATTATGTTCATCTTTTTCCCCTAGATCTTTGTTCGTTGGGGGATTCTAGGTTCGATTCATAAACCCAACAAGCGCCGTTGGGTTCGTCAATCGAACCCAAGAACGCTTGCTGGGTTATTCGATCGAACCAAGGAGCACCTGCTGAGTCCTGTTGGATTCGTCAATCAAACCAAGGAACACTTGCTAGGTTCATCGATTGAACCCAGGAGCACCTCCCGGGTCTGTTGGGTTCGATCGTCGAACCCAGGAATGTTGGCTGGGTTTGTCAATCTAATGCAGGAGCACCTGCTAGGTCCTGTTAGGTTCATTGATCCAACCCAGCAACGCTGGGTTCACCTATTGGGTTCATCGATCGAACCCAAGAGCACTTGCTGGGTCCTGTTGGGTCTTGTTCGGTTCGACTATTGGGTTCGTCGATCGAACCTAGCAGGCACTATTGGGTTCGATTGAAGAACCCTTGATGGGTTTGATTGATGTAGGTTTGATTGACAAATGATAGGTTCGATTGAAGAATTGTTGCTGGGTTTGGTTGAGAGGACCTTGATTTTTCTGGGTTTTTTGGAAGGTTGAAAGGGCATGTCTATTTTGGGGAGATTCTGGGTTTATGTTTGATATTTGTGTTATACTTGGATTTGATGTTAGAAAGTGTCTAGGTTTGCAGAAGGTGAAAGGAAATGAAGAGGAAGAAGAAGTGGTTGCTGGGTTCGATTTCAAACCAAGCGCACCGTTGGGTTCAATCAACCCAGTGACTATTGGGGTTCAAAAAAACCCAATTATGCTGGGTTCCTTTGAACCCATCTTTCAAACCCAGCAAAAGAAAAATTGGAAGGGTCTAGATCTAGTGTTGGGGGAAGGATAGAGAGAGAAAAAAAATGAAAGGATGAAATTACAGGTTTCATTGGGGGTAATTACAGGTTTCCTCTTTAGAGTTTGTAGAAGGCAAGGAAAAAGAAAGAGAAATTTTTAAGTTTTTTTTTGCCATATCATCATTTTTTTGCCATGCTGTCTTCTTGCATGTATTTAATATGTTGACATGTCATCCTTTCTTGTTAACTAACGGGACACGTAGGTGGATTTTTAGCGGAGGGACTAAATCAGGTCAAAATGGTAAACAGTAAGGACCAAATCAATGATTTTTTTGAGTTGAGGGACCAAAATAGAGGTTTAACCTATTTTTTATGATGTGTAATAACACGTCATATAATCTATAATCAACTTACGTTAACATAAAAATGTCAAATCAAATTTCACAATATTAAACAATTTATAAATTAAAGGTTTAAGTACCATTTTGGTCCCTCAACTTGTCACTTTGGTATCAAAATTGTCCCTCAGCTTTAAAAAGTATCAAAATTATCCTCAAACTTTCATTTTCGATACCAAAATGATCCTTCCGTCAGTTAAATGACAGGTGGACCGTTAAAATGCCACAAAATCATTAAACTTTTTGAATCTTAATGATGTGTCAATCCAAGTAAGAAAATTTTTTATACACGTGGCATATTTTTTTACACATCATATTATCACTTTTTAACTTTCCCTTTTAATGGGGCCCATGTGACTTTTATAACTTTTCTTATTCTTTCTCTCCTCTGTTCTCTCTTCTTCTTCCTCTCCAGATCTGGGTTCTTTCAACCCAATAAGAACAATCGATGGCAATGGAATCGAAACCACGCAACATCATCTTCAACACAAATCCACACCAGAACGGAGGGTTCTCTCCACACC